CAGTGTGGGTGAATGCTTTATTTACTTTAATCTCAGCTTCATACAGTGAGAGAGACCAGGCCCTAGCTCTCTGGGATGCTCTGTGAAAAGTGCCTCATTGTGTTTGGGCTTTATTTATTGAATGCATTTGAATGAGCGATCATTCTAAGAGCCAAGAGTCATTCAATTTGATTTCACAATGGGGTGATGGGTGAGGCTGGAAACTACATTCTCAAATGCATTATCCAGAACACAGGAAACAAAACCACTTTTTAAAAGTGACTCATCTTTAATATCTCATAGCAGTTTTGAAATACTTCATTCATTCATTTTTATAGCAAACTCTTAATTGAGAATGTCATAAACCGCTTTGCAGAGAGAGGCAATCATGACCTGGGAAATTAAGTGGAGTAATTTACAAATAGGCTTTTGTCTGGCTGGAGGTTTTAGCTTATTCACAGTTTGCCTTTAGGTTATCTTAGCAACACACACTCCCCTTTACCCGTTCTATTGGCAGTATCTATTTTGGGTGCCCAATATATGCTGAAGATGAAACCAAACAGTTTCCTATATGTTGCTTTTTCCTGGCCTGCATTACAAAGTCCTTCTGACCCATTATTTTCAAAAACAGAAACTGATCAGTGTCATCGTTCTTTAAGAACCTTCATCTTTTCACCTTATCAATCTATTGTCTATCCAACTTTCTATGTGGGCCATATAAATATATTGTGAATGAATGAACTCTGGGCCCGTTTCCAACTAACATTGACCCAGTTCCTGGGCGAGTTCCCTCTTCTCTTGATTTCTTTATAATTGATAGTCTCCATAATCTGGCACTTGAGAAAATATATCATTTTTTTTCTTGCTTTAAAAAATATCTTGTTCCTCTTCCTCCCCACGTCAACTCTATTACAGCTTATGTGAAAAATGCAGACTGCTAAGTCTGATGCACTTGGATGAAACCCCTAGTTCTGCCATTTATGAGTTGGGGCACCTGAGATGATAATAATAATTGATTCATAGGGTTGTTGGAAGAGGTTAAAAAAAAAAAAGATAGTTCATATGAAGCATAAAGCACATAATATGAGCTCATTGAATCTTACTCAAAGATGAATTCATTGATTCTTCTCTAGACAAAGTTTCTTCTTTAAAGAGAGGAGGAAGAGAAATAACTTTCTTGTTTTTATTATTATTATTGTTTTTACCAAAGATAGATTGCCCCAACTTCCGCGCCTCCCCCCCCCCCCCCCCCCCCCCCCCAAACTCTTAACCAGTTAACTGTTGAAGACCCTGAGAACTTTCACCTAATTTCAGTCTTTCAGCTTTGTCAAATGTTCATCGGATTCAGTTCATTCCTTTTAACAAACATTAGTTGATCTCCTGTTATGTGCCAGGTATTGTGCTTAATGTGATCAAGAAAATGTTAAATACAAAATCCCTGTCTGCAGATTTGGGAAATACTTTTTAAAACCATGGATTCATACCATACTCCTCCCTCCCTGCCTCTCCTGTATACCTGTGCTGTCTTAAAAATTCAGCTTGGGGAAAGGGGGAAAAGAGTATCTATGGAGAGAACCCTGTGAACTATAGCTTCTAAATCAACAGGCTAAACATCTAGGATACTGTTTGTGCCATGTATAAGCCATACCATACATTTCATCCTATGGCTAATTTTTTTGTGCATAGTCACTATGTCTTACTTTAAAATCATTTGAGCCTTTTTGCTCTTATTTTATTAGGTATGGATTCAACATTTTAACTCATAATTTGCAGTTTTCTGATTTTTTATTTCCACATGCAATCCATTTGATCATAAAACAATTGATTGAAAAGCAGTATTTAACTAACTTAACACTATTAATGGTCCTCTGCCAAAGATTCCTGACCTGTTTATCTTTTTAAAGGACAGATATTCATACAATTTTTAACTAGGTTAGAGCAGCTTATTTATTTAAAATATGGATAAATTAAAAAAAAACCTGCATTGGTAATGCCAAAAACTCAGTAATTATCCATCTCCCTCCACCTGCAGCAACAAATAGCCAATAGGTTATCATTGACTTTGGTAGATTCATAGAACTTGCAAGTTGAGAAATAATGTCCAGTCATCTCTTCCTCAAATTGCAGTCCATAGGCCAACAACATCAGCAGAACTTGGGAGTTTATTAAGAACGCAACAAAATCAGAACATATATTTTAACAGAATCCTCAGATGATCTGTAAGCCATTCAAAGTTAGAATTGAAGTGCCACTTTAACCCCCTTTTTTTAAGAGATGAGAAAGTTCGAACTCAAGAGTTAGTGCAGGCTAAAGCCTGCACTGCAAGTTCAGAGTTCTCTTTTGTATTCAGGGCTGCCTCAGTGACTTTCTCACTGTTAACAGTGAAAGTAAGAGGCTGTTGCCCACCTATTCATTATAGGTGTGGTTTCATCTTATCTTAGTTTTCTGGCTGATGTTTGGTGGTCTAGAAAAGTAAATTTCAAGATCAGAGAATGACTTTCTCTTTCACCCTGATTTTTCTTGTGCAGGAGGTCATTTGGCTTATCATCATATATTGCATAAGCCTCCGAAATAACAATGAACCCTTAATGAGGCCATAACCCTTTTTATTATCATTAACGTTTGTCAGCACCTATGATAGGAATTTTACCATCTGACATTCTTTCCCCAACTCACAGCTCATGATTGTGTAGTACATCTCCACTCATACAAGGAGGATTGAAAAGGCTGAGCCAAACCCTGTTAACAAAACAGTCCCCTGAAGGGCTATAATATTGCTCGGTGGTAATATCATCCCTATGCATTTTATCTTGTACATGAAATCTGGGCTAATTATCATTTTCTCATATAGTACATTTTAGACCATTGTGTTTTTGTGTCCCTGCCTAGTTCATTAAGCAGGGTTTTACAGCTCCTCCAGTAACAGGATTGCTATTGACACTTTCATTAGACCCATAATTCAAATGCTTGTCTGCCTTCCAAATGGAAGCCTCTCAGTCCAGAACCACAATCTGGCCACCGACCGTATGTTGGCTTTTAGAACTGTCATAAACTCATCATCACATTCAAGTTTGAAGGGTCAAAATCTGCTTTCTTGGTGAACTGTCTCCATCCAACAAACAGTCAACGTGTTCTCCAAGAATAGTCAGCCAAGCTTTTTCTGTCTCTCTCTGAAAACTCTTCCAGACAGTTCTCAGTATAGTGCAACTATGGCACAACTAATCATTGCCTATATTTAAATAATTTTCTGTTTCATTCATTCATTCTGTTATTTTACCATTTGAGATCAATATATCCAATATTACGGCAGATGTTGTAGTGATTTAAAGATGAATAAGATGATCTCTGCCTTGGAGTATCTTATAGTCTGATAGATGTGTGTAAGTGGAATGTGAAAACTTTCACCACTAGGTTGTAAGCAGTTAGAATCGCTATAATTGTAGATTGCTGTGCTCTAACTAATGGCTGTTATCAACTGTTTTCTCATCAGTGGTTCAAATGGATATAGCATCAACCAGCCTCGGAAGGTCCACAGAAATGATTCCGATGGGCAACAGGGACAAAGTGGGTCTGGATCAGACAGCCAGTGTTCTGGTGATCATGAAAAATGGTCTTTGTTCTTTATAAGTGTTTTGTTTTTCTCTTTGACAAGGTTCCAGAAAAAGTTCAATGCAAATATTTGATCTAACTGACAATAAAGCTTTTTAGGAGTACCTACTAGACAATGAAAATTTCTGCTTTTAATGTTTGGAGAAGTAACTTATCTTGGGCCTTTGTGACTAAGCAGGAAATCTGAACAGACTTATGTAGCTTCAGTGTGCAATTGAGGTTTTCAACCTTTACAAATTGCTTTTAGCTATTTAATTGAACATACAATTGTAGACCATATATTTCAAGGTACAGTTAATTCTGTTTGATTTGAAAGGCTGCTGTTTGGGTACTTTGATTTTGATTTCTGACCAATCAAATCACAAAGGAAAAAAAAGCTTGTTTGTGGGTAATTTTTACATTTTTGAAATTTGCCTTTAAGGAGAAAAGAAAGAGAGGAAGAAATGGAAAATGTGAAAGTATAGTCTTGTACTGTATCTTCACCTGCTTTTTTAGTTCTTAGCCTTACTTAAGTATATACATTTGACTACCTCCTGCAACCAGACCCATGTCTGGACTCCAGAGAAAGAGGGGTTCTCTGCTGGACTCAACCATTAAGCAGAAGAAGGATGTAAATCTGGTGTCTATTGCCTATCAAGATAATCTGGCTTCATTTTGCAGTAATACTGCCATGGTGTTGGAAAATGACTTCAGCATTTTTCCCAGTGCATTTTATTCCACTGCATGTGCCTTTGTAAACATGCCCAATCGCATGATGGAGGTCAACAACAATGTAGGGTTTAGAAATTGTTGCTTAGAAATCACACTCACTTAAATACCTGAATCTGTCCATCAGCCATGCCATAGCTTATTCCAAGCTTGTGCAGAAGAGTGATTTGCAATCTCCTTGCTTTTCATTTCAAGTAGCATCACTCACTTTAAGCCAGATATTCAGGCCTCTTCAGAAGCCTCCAGGGTGAAGGACAAGTAAGAAGAAGCTTATCAAATCTTTCACAACTGGGGCCAACTGTATCTATTGCATCAAATTCGTTACATCTTTCTCTGGTATTTTATTTTAAAATCACACATTCTTCCTTGCATGTGACAAATAATGAGGATTTGCCACATAATTTCACAGTCCCAATGACTCTCTTTTGGTTCTACACATTTAATTGGTCATTCCTCAGGTTAAAAGCTGGGCCAAAATGACTGGGGTTAAAGGAGAGGATGTAATATTTATTTTTATAAGTTCTTCCCCTTTGAGTTATCTTCCCTCATCCCTTTTTTAATTTTTAATGCCTTTTATTTATTTCTGAGAGAGAGAGACAGCATGAACAGGGGAGGGACAGAGAGAGACCTTCCCTCATCTTTTATATTCTCAGGTTGCATAACTAAATTCTGTTTTGTTTTGTTTTTTCTGTTTCACTCTCAAGGACTTACCAATTTGGGCTTCTTCCAGTGCTAAAAACCGATTACAAATATGAAACAGATTTCACTACTGGACTTGAATGCCATATAAAAAATGAGAAGATCTTCAAAATAATTGAAAAAGATCCTCACCAAAGAATAGATGCAGTGTGGATGGCAAGAAATCAAGGAGGTAAGAGGTAAATTTCTAATAAAAACACGATTGTTATCTGGTCATTGGTATACCAATTATGCTTCTAGGCTAAAGGTTGCATTCTTCCTCAGTTAAGGGTCAGAACAGCATGGATCATTTCTAATTTAAAAAGTGTACCGGATAATCTAGTTGCCTTTTTTTCTGGGTCTGTCTGTCTAGCTATTAATTATAGAAATATTGCACAATGCTAGATTCTTTCTAAGGGCATCATTTTAGAGAAGCGGTATGCTTAGTATAGGAAACATCCTCCACAAAAAAAAAAAATACTCTCAGAGATGTTTACCAATTTCTTGTGCTTCATCTTGAAAGCACATCTTGAAAACCTATCTCCAGGATGACAAGGTAGCAAATCAGGGGTGTAGGGCAATAAAGCTCTTAAAAGTTGTTTATCTTGATGTTGGAAGAAAGGACATTCAGTCCCCCATAACCAAAGGGCAGGCCTTGGGTGAGGGTACCTGAGGTGGGCATGTGAAAGACCATACTGAGCAAGGATGTAACATAAGGATTTGAGGAGTTGGTGAAAGTGATTTTTGAAAGGAATAATGGAGAATGAACAGTGAGTAAGTGAGCTCCCAGAGTGCACTATTTGATAGGCTCAGGGTATTAGAAAACGAGAGAAAGTATGAAATGTTAATAGTAATTGCTGTGGACTGCATTCTTGGATCTTCATGAATGAGTAAAGGGTGGTATCCCCAAATTTTACATAAAATGTCTCTTTGGGTCTGAACACATGGCTGCAGCCCTCATTTCACTGAGAAATATTCCACTGAGCACCTTGGCAATGGGATTTCTTTTAAAATAAATCATAGTGTCTTCTCGGTGCCCATGCCTCAGTGTAAGTGCGAGGTTACCAGTTTTCTTCATATGGCCGAGTTTGGAAAGAGCAAATTTGAGAAGGTGGCCTGAACTCTAGTACTGGTGGGACCATTAAGTGGGTGATTGAACCCCAGTGAGTCATCCAAGGTAATGCTGCACTAGTTGTGAACACAGGACTTTGGAGTCAAACAGATTTTGCACAAGTTACTTAATCTTCGTTAGGCATTATTTCCCATATCTGTAATGCTGGGACATTAGTAGAATCTCCCTCATTGGGCTTTTTAATGACATAATGTATGTGAAGCTTCACAGTGCTGAGTTCAATAAATATAAGCCCTGTTATTATAGTTGTTATTATTCTCAGGGTGGTGGTGGTATTAATTCCTTGTCTTCAGTTTCCTTATCTTTCACATGGAAGGTTAAGATAAAAAGGTTCTCAGTGCTCCTTTCTGGTTCTAAAAATACTTTCTGTAATTCGTTGGTGAAAAGCACGAACCACAATAAGCAGGTAATGGTCAATGAGACAACTGTTGCGCCTTATATCTCTTAGAAATATTTGACTTCTTTTAAAGTGCCCCATCCTTGAGAGTGCCTGGGTGGCTCAGTCAATTGAGTGTCTGACTTTCGCTCAGGTCAAGATCCTGCAGTTTGTGAGTTCAGGCCCTGTATCGGGCTCGCTGCTATTAGTGCAGAGTCTGCTTTGGATACTCTGTCCCTCTCTCTCTGTCCCTCCTCCACCTGCTGTCTCTCAAAAATAAATATTAAAAGAAATAAATATCTGAAAAAAAGTCTTAAATAAATAAATAAAATGTCCTATCCTTGAGAGGGCTCAAGATTTCATTTAACATGTGTTTTACCAATGTGTACACTTGTATACCTGTACCACTTGTACCCTTACTGAATAGGAAGAAATGAGATGTAGTTCTTCTCTCTTCTATACCGGAAGTATTTATGGTTTACTCTATACCCATGGGGACAGTCGTGCTCCTTCTCCCCAGGAACGTAGGTAGCCACCAAAGTGTATTTTCCTTTTCCTTTTTTTCTTTCTTTTTTTTTTTTCAACCCTCCTCCTCCTCTTCTTCCTTTTTAAAAAGATACTAAAACCCTAGTTCTTCTGTGATATGAAATAGACAGCCCCTTTCAAAGACTTTTGAGCTATTTTTTTTCTTTATACTAGATGTTTTTGTTGTTGTTGTTAGAATCTTGCCCACAGAAATGTAATACTGATAGACTTGTTGACTGGTCCTAGAATATATCACAGTCCCCAAATACATCAAATTAAAAAAAAAAAAAAAAAAGGAAAAAAGAAATCAACATTGTTCTGAAAGGAAGGTAGTTAAAATTCAGAAAGAGAGATTCTTTAATTAACTTAATAAAATTACTAATGGAAGCATTTTAACTGCTAAATTTAATTTACTTGTCAAGATATCAGGCTACAAAGAGGAGGGAAGAGTAGGAACTCTGCTTTCCATTATGATGTACTCTATTATAGAATAAATTTGCTTAAAATGAAATATATCACCAAAAGCCATCAATGACATCTTAATTTGGAACAGCCAGTTGAAAAGTAATTAGACTATGAAGCAATCAGTTCTAGTAAATCAGTGTTTCCCTTTACATAAACATACTTTTTTTTCCCCTTTTTTTTTTTATTCTATTTATATACAGGAAAGACTTTCAGGTAGTAGGCAGGCAAAGATGCTGATTCTTTTGGCTGTCGGTGTTTTTACTTTACATTACCAAGCTGTCAAAACAAAATGTTTTATGATGGGTTTAAAAAATGTATAAGCATCTGATTTGATTTAATGTTTATATTTATATGTTGAACTGAGGAGAGTTTGCTTATCATAGGGGTTTAAAAGATTTACATTTGTCTGCTTCTTACTTCCAAAATGCTTTCCAGATCCACAGGCAGCCCTGACACCTTACTTCAATGAATGAGGCTCAGTCAAAAAGCAAACAAGAGCCTTGCTTCTCCCTGCAGGGTCCCTCCTAAGTTATATAAACAAAGGTAGAGAATGTGGTTGCTAATGATACATGGATGGGGAGGGAGGTGGGAGTGGTTAAAATTATCCTTGTGTTCAGTGTCTGATGGTTCACCATTAGTAATTTCTCAAAATGTAACTGACCTTCCTAGAAGTATGTTTGTTTATTGTTATGAAAGGCTAATAAGGGGGTTGGGTGGAACAAAAAATAGTCTGTATTTCATCCGATTTTGAAAAGTTACCTGATTTGGCTGAGGTATCAAGAATCGCAGTATTCAAGTCCTTTATATTAGAAAGCACTTTTGTGTATGTATCTTTTCTGATCACTCTGATAAACCTCTGAAGAAGACATTTTCAGCTTCAATTTACAGACATGGAAATGGAGGCCCAGAGAGGTTAAGTGACTCATGGAGATCGCAGAGTTAGTTAATGGAAGAGTGGGGGCTAGAACAGGGCTTCTAGGCTCCTGATACTGTTTCCACAACATCTGCTTCTGATGGTGGAATCCCATCTGTTTTATATGGAGGGGAAGAGGTGTGAGAAAAAAATAACTAGCTGAGATATCAATCACTCGGAAAAATATTTATGAAGGACTTCATTCAGATATTAGGGGGGTCACCATTGTCACCAGCCCTGAAACATCAGAGGGAATGATGAATTATGCCAAGGAGAACATTAGCTCAGAAGATAGAGAGCACCTTGCAATGTCATGCTTGTGTTAGTGTGTATTATCCTCTAGTGGGAGAGAATGGCATGAGAGAGGAAAATAAAGGACAGTTTTTAGTGAGGAAAATAAGCTACACCTTGTTATAAAAGGAGAAATGTGGGGAAGCCTCTGAAACACAGTTTCAGGATGTGCCAGCATGCAAATCCCTTAGCAGTATGCAAATGACCTCACCCTTATGGAGTAAATCATTTCCATTCTCTCCACTGCCTATTTAGAAATGTGATCATTGATAACAGCACTACAAGGTACTATTCTGAGTTGAAAAACACACTGGGAGGAAATCTAGTATGTATGATACAGTGAGATTATTAACATTCATAATAGTAGATAGGTGTGAAGTAACCTAAGACAATATAGTCTAAGTGCAAAAACAGACCTCCTTTGCACTATTGCAGTGAGAGAACTGATTAGAGCACATGGCTGCAGGCACTCTCTCCCTCCAGAATTCTAGTAAAAATGGAGTTTGTCATCACCAATGGCTGCTCAAAATCCTTATGTTGCCCTGGGAGTGGAGAAGGCAAGAACTATATAAAAATAGACAGGACAACTTAAAGTTAGCAAAGAAAGATAAGGCATGCAAAAGTGGGAAATGAGATATTGCTAGTAAAAGAGGTTGGATGGAGTATGGAAGTCTTTTATAAATGTATCAAGGAAAAAAAGTGATCCTCAAGAGAAAAAAGACCAGTGAATAAATGAGAAGAGGAGGGTGTGAAATTAATGATGTCTGAGATATTGACCTCCTGCTTTAAGTCAGTTTTTAAGAGAAAAATGAGAAGAAAATTTGGACAACTGGAAGGCAATAATGACTTTTAAAAATAGGTACCGACAAAGAGGATGAGGGGAAATTTAGAAAAAAATTAAACATTATGGCACATACAGATTGTAAGCTTCAGATAATATGCTTCTCAGGGAATTAGATTTCCTGCCTACTAACTAGGCACAGATATGGAAGAACAATACAAACTAAAAAGATGTCAGAAATTACTCAAAACAAATGTGTTTCGTATAACAATAGAATAATGATAGGGCTGGCCTGGGGAGCAAACACAGGATGGGCTCTCTTAGTGTTGTGTAAATTTCTGACATACTTGGTCATGCCTATGTGGCAATTGCAATTTTTAAAAAATTAAGGAAAAATTATTTCTCTTTTATTTAGCAAGTAAGGAAATAACCTCAATAATCCATGTTAACTACTGGGTATTATGTACAAGAGATACTATGATTGTCCCATAGGAGAAAGTTGGAAAAATAATGCAGTTCCTAAGACATTACTAAAATATTGATTACATATGGCCATGAAATTGGAAAATTTAGAGTGCAAAGGAAAAAAAAAAAAAGGATCTGAAAGAAAGTTTCAGATCCTAATAAAAAAATTAAGGCTAAACCCTTAAAATCCAGCTAATTCTTGGGAAGCTATTAGATACTTGGGAATAATCATTTAGGGACGTTTT